TGCTCTCGTCTTGAAAAGTGCGTATAGACAAGGCAGTGTGCGTTTGCTTTTTAAAACTCAAACATGTGTTTGTGTGCGTTCACATCGGCACAACAGTGTTCAACAAGCTGGTACAACATCTAAGTATAACGCAAAGGATTCCGTCCTCTAGGTACAAAGCTATAAGGAAGTGAATCGCTTGAATTTTCGAATTTATAGTTTCATGTTTCAATGTGCTTAGTTTTAATATAATTACGCGACTTACGCCGTGAAATAGTCGGCTGTTAATATAAAATTAATTTATTTTTTACGCCTATATTACGAAGCTGTACGAGTAACTTAATAACAAAAAAAAATAAAAATCTTAATTTTGAAAATACAAGCCATAAACAAGAAATTTCTCTTTTAAAAAAAGTTCAAAGTTACAATTTTGAAGATAACTCTATCTACTTATTTGGATCAAACGCGTGAATGTTTATAAAGTGTAGTGAACAACGTAATAAATCATATTCGTTAATTTTGATTGAAAAAAATAGGTAAAGTTCACGCATACTGGCATTTTAGTAAACGGCAGCCAAAAAAAGTTACAAAAAAGGTCACAGGGTAAACTTGCTTGTAAGGACCTTCTTACACAAGTCAACGTAGTATCGTCGACGCTAGTCGTCTATCCATTCAGCGAAACTAGACAAAGTGCATTCACTCGAAAGCGATACCATAACGAAGTTCAAAAATGTATGGAACTGACGCTTGGCAATCACGTGACTTAACGAAAGTTATTGTCAGTTCTGTACATATTTGAAGTTCGTTGTAGAATCGGTTCGGACCATTGTGCAAGCATAGCGACTGCATGTCAACTGTATAGATGTTCTCCGCCATCTTGGATATTATAGCGATTTTTCTCATGAGTGTCTTGACGAATAGGATGCAAGCAACTGACATTGGCGATGACAGATAGAAATGTCGACGACGCGCAATTTCTATTACGTTGTATGAGTCAGTTAGCGACTAAAATCGCCGGTTTCCGAAGATTTACCTTACCTTGTGTACAAAGGGCCTAAAGGTACGAATCGTAAATACCAACTACCATATCTGAGTCGTTTTTATTTCCCGTCGTAGAAAACTACCGTTGTGGCTTCATACAAGATTATTTATTGCTATACAGGAAATTTCCTCTTTCGCCAAACGGCGTAGATTCACCCGCTGTAAATTTTAAAATCGGAAAACATGAATTGAGGTAAAGGATTTTATTTTATGCTTTATGATTTTACATGCTGTATTATTTGCACTCTTTATACTTAGAGTAATTTATTTAATAATAATTCAATTTATAACATTACTACTCGTAAAAAACGTTTGAAATTAATTTAATTCTATTTAGTTTTAAAGATATGAACCCTTTTTGAATAATGACTAAAGGACACTAATGTCCCAATCTTTTCTTATAAGTAAAGGTCTTACTCTTACTAATATTATAAAAGCGAATGTTTACATGGACGGATTTCAATACAATTTGGCAAAGATGTAAAACGCAATCTGGAAGAACACATAGGTCTTCCAAATAAGTTTTTTTAATTCCGCGCGGACAGAGTCGCGTGTAAAAGTTACTCAATAAAAATGCAGTAAAACTATCGTTAACAATATCGTGACTTTTTAAATTCATATTCAAAAGCGAAGACGTTGACTTCATTGTATTTTATCACAGCTTCCGATATTGCCGCTGAGAAAATAGAACAAAGTCTCGCATCAATACCACTAGTGTTCATACACTGCACACAGTACTGCGGCATCTTTTACACCGACTATTAAATTTGTAAATTATTTTTCTGATAAAATTATATCATATCAACCCGCACTGGATCAACGTGTTTGACTATGGCCTAGTCATCCTTGACTAAAGTAGGCTCCGAGCCCTCAGTGGGGACGTATAGTGAGCTGATGATGATAAATTATATCATAGAGATTATACAATATTTCATTGCCTTTTAATTTTAGCTTAAACTTGTTAAAACTAATATTATAATATACTTACTTGTAGTGAGACAGTTAGGACTTGATTGGACGGATGAAAGCGACTTAAATATAATTTATATTTTGAGTTGGTGAAAACAAGAAATATTAATTTGCTTATTTTGTTTTTTTTTTTTAACAATAACTATTGTATATTTTATATGTTTAAAAGTACGGTGTGACAGGGGATGCATAAAGTCACGTGTGACGCAACTAAGTGCATGCAGGAAGCGAGCGCGAGCCTTCAAACGTAATTTGTCTCTCCCGCGTGTTTGCAACCCCCCCCTTTTATTTCGACCCCGCTTTTGCTTTCGGCTCGGTATTCCGAAACCTCATCACAATGTACATGCTCCCGGTTAATTTGAAAGGACGTTTGCCGTTTTTGTGCCCTTTCTGAACGCACTAATTACTTGATGCCTTTCGTCAATGTGCGACACGTTGCCACAAAAGACCATATCCCGTCTGAAAGAATTAGCTTTTTACGTTTGTAAATTTTGTGTTCATAACCAAATATAGTCGTTTTAACGTAAAAATGAAATACAATTTCTCTTTCTATATAGGTTGAACATTGGAACCCGTAATTTTATTGTAAATGTTGTTGACGAAAAAAATAAAATTAAATGCAAAAAATTAAATGGCAACTCTATGTTGGAAATTTCCAAAATATACTTTCCTATAGATACCTTTAATAATGAATGGCAATAATATTAAATAAAACATTATAATAAAATAAAAAAGACCTCCCACCTAATAGTAAACTTGTGTATCAAATTTTGAAAAATGTTTAATTATGTTAAGCAATTTATGAATAATTTTTAAAAAATCTAAATTTTAGGAAAAAAAATACAATAAAATTGTGTATTTTGTATTTTCAAAGTCCCGCCTAAACATAATAACCTGTCATGGTTATTATGTTTACGCTCTTCAGTGACGTCACGCCATGTTGTAGAATAGAATGGTATATCTGTATGTAGTTGCGGTACTAAATTCTGAATTGTTGTACTGAATTCTGAACTATGAAAATATTTACAATGACAATAGCACCGTCCTAGTGTGACATCACGCTTTCTAATTAGTGTTCCGTGTTACGTTACTGAATTTTAAATTTGGATGATTTTCATTACTAAAAATATCATTAATCTTCTTTTCTCTTCATAATTATTGCTATTTTTGCAGGTTACTAACTCAAAAATTTAATTTTATCCGAATTTTTTTCCTGGTGCACAAAATAATTTCTGGCAATGCGTCGTTCATGTTGTCAAACTGCGCTGCGTAAAATAATTTTGAAGTAAGCTGTCATTGGTCACATTATCAAATCAAAACTTCCGATTGTGAAAAATTTTAAGTTTCGGCGAATTCTAATATTATAATTTCGGAAAGTAAGTAAATTTCTCTATTGCTTTAATTTTACGAATATATAAAAAGTACTTATTACACTTTCTAATCAAAAAAGGTTATGTACTGATTTCGCCTTTTATAAATTTCATGCACACGTTCAGAGCGGGGTAGTAAAAAGAAATACTACTTCGTTTAAAGCCGGGTGCAAAATTAATGTTGAATACAGATACTTTAGATTGTTTACTTAATTCATTTCAAGTATTCAAGAACACTATAGCCCGGTTTTGCAATAAATAACGGCAAACGTATCATCGTCTACCACCTTTTCCCATAAAAAAGTATGACTAAGAATTACCTATCAAAATAAAACATATGGGATTACACGTAATTTAATTTTAAATGTATTAATATAAGTAACATAAACTATATAATTTATTTTACGGTGTCAGAAAATAAATACGAAAAATTTAAGATGTGTGTATGGTCCCACTGGTCTCTCATTACAATCTTACTAATGTTATAAATGCGAGAGCTTAAAACGATGGATGGATGTTTTTTAAAAGGTATATCTGGTATGGGTTAGAGGATCTCAATAAAATTTGGCATAGATGTTATAACACAGACTGGAATAACACATAGGCTTAATAAGGTTTTTTCTTATTTTACCTCGGACAGAGTTGCAGATAACAGCTAGAATGTCATACAGTACACAATAAGAACCTACCTAAATAGACTTCTATGTTTATATACAGTCTGTGTCGGAATTGTAACAAACTATATAGAAAAGTATAATTATCTCTAGTCCTGTTTTAATATAAACTTTTATATAATTACAGATGTCCGGCCGTGATGGTGGTAAAAAGAAGCCACTGAAGGCACCAAAGAAAGAGCAAAGGGAATTAGATGATGATGATCTGGCCCATAAACAGAAGTTAAAAGAACAACAAAAGGCTTTACAGGTATGAAATCTACTTTAAAAAAAAGCTTTTGGAACATCATTGTCATTATGTTAGGGAATAATTTAATAAATGTGATTTTTGTACTTAAGCTGTTAATTTATTTTCTAGGAAGCTAAGGCCAAAGCAACACAGAAAGGGCCATTAACTCAAGGTGGAATAAAAAAGTCGGGCAAAAAATGATAACTATATAATATATATAATATATTAAACTATATTATATTTAACATGATTTCCATTAAATATGTCTAATTTATAGGTTAATTATATAAACATGAAACTCGATTTTATATTCTTTTTAACTCAATTTGCATTTCATAAAACAAAATATCTATAAAAACGTAACTTATTGTTTTAGAAATGAAATAAAAACTGCCAGTAAAATGCTTTTGGATTTTATAAATTAATTGTAAAAATCAAAGAAACTTTTTGTCAATAAAGTTATATTACAAGTACTGTCTTTTAGTTCAGTTATTGTTGGCTGTACAACCTGAACCTTTTACTTCATATTTTTTTTAATATAATAATTGCTTTTTTTGGGCACATAAAAATTTGTTTAACATTGTATGCAAACACATATCTAAGTGTAATTAAAAGGTATGTAATAAACATTTGTATTATGCAGGCATTTTTTAATTGAGGTTATTTTTAGTTTTAGTAGTTCAATTTTTTTGACATACACAATTGGTTTACTTTTGTTGTATAATTATGTTTATTAATAAGGTATACCATAAACCTTGCTTATTTTGAATATCTTGTGCTAATGCTATGCTAAATTTAATTTAACCTTCACCTTGAAATCTTTTGTCATTCATTTAACATTTTTAACACTTTTCAGAAATATGGCTTCATTTCAAGGCTTTAAAATAGTTGATGTTAATTTAGACCTACAAATTAAAGATATATTTTCTGATAGTTTTGACAATAATCTCTACTATAATTTCACACACAGTAAAATTGATCAAAACAATAGTTTTGGAAACAACAAAGTTGAAACAAAGCATGAATTAAATACTGGTGATGGGCAGAACTGCAACAATCTTAGCTATAATAGTAAAACAGCACAGATATATTCAATTGAAGAGAATAAAGACCTAATTACTAGTAATAAATACAAATTAGAACAAGTTAGAGATCAATATTTAGAAAATGTAGACAGCCAATTACGAACAGATGAAAACTTTGATACAGAATTTAACATGTTAACGGATCTCCAAGCTAGTTCTGATAATTTCACTGATTCCGGTTGCTTTGCCAGTCAAAGTACAATTGAAGATGATAAAAATGTACTCGAAAAAGCTATAGATATGCCTCCAAAAGAATGTATGAAAAATTGCAATTTGACAAATGAAAATTATATAAATCCTATTAATGAATTTCATATGGATGTAGACGAAACTGAAGATGGTAACTTTGAAAATGAATTTAAATACGCTGGTTTAGATGATTCAAATTGCAGTGGCTACCATTCGTCAGATTTCGAATTTATTGAAGAAAATGAGGCTAGAGAAGTTGTTTTTAATATTACTAAATTAGATGCAGACATTGTAAATATAAGTAATTGTGTCAATAATAAAGAAGTTACTCCAAATTCGACTGAAAATAGAAGTAAAAGTTTTAGTAATTGTCAAAATCATTTTATCCCGGAAGGTGATGATTTCTTAATTCTCTTCCAAACTGCACCTGCACTTAATTATGAAAGTTCGTTTATACAACACAACTGCTATAATTTTGTTCCTAGCTTAAGTCGTTCACGTTTAGGTTTCGAAGTAGAAAAATTTGAGGAATATACACAATACAACAAAGTTGACGGTGAGTACATTTTATTTTTATATTTAAATTCCTACAATGAAGTTCCACTGCCCTTGTATTACATAGTGTCAAAGTATCAAACGAGTGACTATTATATGTGTATTGTAGTTTTATGTGCATATTTGTTTCAGTGAGAGCTGCGAAGGAGACTGTAAAGAATATTTTATCAATGTATCCCCGACAAAATAAGTACTACAAAGAAATTTTATAACATTTTTGATTTGTTTTATTAATAAAAAAATTATCTTATTAAAGAAAATTTTATTTCTTACCACAAAGTATTAGAAGATTATAGGAAATAATTTACCAACATTTCTTGTAACTGTTCTAAATAAGCTCAAAGCTTCATGATTTGAATCTTGTCGTCTACCAAATATCGTCGAATGTTAGGGTCTAATGAAAAGGGTAATATTTTAAAAATTATATTTAATAACTTTACAACATAAGGATTCATTTCTTCGTAATAAAGTCTGTAAATCTAACAAATCAACACTACAAATTTACCAAAAGAAATTTAGAAAAATATTAGACGAACCAAGCGTCGAATATTTTACAGAGAACGAGCGATTTCCCAAATCTTAAAACTAAATTAAGTATATAATATACTTAATATAATACAAAAGTGATATTCAATACATTAACTAAATTAAAATTTTGCTTTAAAAAAATGTTAACCATTTTTATTTATATTTACAACTTATTCTAATAATATAAAATAGTTTAGAAATTCAAAATAAATGTACTTTGAGTAGCTTAATTTGAAAATAACTGTTTAAGATAAATTTATTTTTTCTTAATTGTCTTAATTACGTAAATATTCATACATTGTTTATCAAAGCTAATCATGGGTTTCCACTGTCGATACATGCACAAAATATATTTCACGTTGACTTTATTTTTTTACATATGTATGCAGTGAAAACTCAATATAAAGTCCGTTAGTATATTTTTTACCGTAAAAACTTTTCCATTATTTGTCGAATTCAATGGATATAGGAAATTAATTTTCCACATGTCACTGGCTGACAATATCATATATTTGTTGTCGATGGATTTATTTTGGAAAGTTTGTATTTTAATGAATACAAACATGTCTATTTTTAATAAGTCTGTAATGACAAAGGTATAATTCTGACTAACCTGAAACTACAGTGGTCTGATACAAAATAAACATTTTCAGATAAACGACACGTTCGAAGTCATTATGTTGTATGTTATAGTAGCTTTTGTCTACGAATCTGTCCGCACAGAATTAAAAAAACTTATTTATCATGTGTTCTTCCTGACAATACACTATCTATGTCAAATTTCATCGAGATCCATACAGCAGTTCTGGAGATACCTTCTAACAAACATTCGCATTCATAATATTAGTAAGATTGATCAAACATTTATACGGTTATAAAATAGACATAGCTCGGATTTATATATCGTTATGTTCAAAGATGCTCATAGATTTAGCTAAAAATATTACCTAGACCACTTTAGATCCAGGTTAGCCATTGGTCATTTAATAGAAGTTTCGCCTAAGTCAATATTTAGACGTTATTTTATTGAATGTCTCATTACTTTTGTATTATATAGTTTATTCTTCATTTTGTTTCAGTTAGCACCATTCCTATTTCCCTGGCTGAGAAGGGGATGGATATTTATTTGTCCTATATTTATGGGAATAAGCGATTATTACACAATATAATCCATAAAAGCAAATAATTGATTCTCCAATAATTTTGATTGTAGCTGTTTTTCGTCAGAAATGTGTAATTTTTATAAATTACATATATAGTATATCTTAATAAGATATTTGTTGTTGAAAAAATACCGCAATTTTACATCTAAGTTGTTTATAAGATTTTATTGCTCACAATCACGTAGTCTGCCGTACTTAGTCTGTTAACGATTACTTACTTAGTGTAGATTTTATATTAAATGCAATATAATAGTCGAGACCCTTAGTGATCATTAAAGTCTCTGAGTTAGCAGAAAATTGCTTTCACCCAGTTCATTTTATAATATTGTGCACGGCCCAGGTCAAAGTTATATTGTTTAAAGTTTTTGTTTTCTTTTTGATGGTGACCTTGGTGAAGGTGGTTCAGTCTTCCTACTCTGAAAAATAAAATAAAAACAATTAATTAAATTTTGCTAGTACTTAGTATATTTTATTAAAAAAAACTTACCTCTCTTGTTCTCTTTGCTCTTGGTTCATCAACATCAGGCTTTTCTTTTTCTTTCTCTTTCACTTCTTCTACTTTCTCTTCAGTCTTCTTCTGTGGCTTTTCTTCACTCTTTTTTGGACTCTTTTCACTTTCTTTTTCTGGACTTGGACTTTTTTCTTTTGTCTCTGTTTCTTTTTCTGTTTCCGTATTTTCTGCATTTTCTGTTTGTTCTTTTGTTTCCTCTGTCACAGTTTCTGGTGCTTTCTCTTCTGTGATGTTCTCTTCTGTGTTTGTGTCTTTACTTTCTTCTGGTTTTTCATTTGTCTTGTCTTCTGGAACTTCCTCTGTCTCTTTAGCCTCTGTGTCTTTAGTTTCTTTTTCTTCTACTTGTTGTTTTCTTGACGATTGTCTCTTTAATGGAGGTTTTGCTTGGGTTCCATTAGGTTTCTTTGCTTTAGCTAGAATAAAAAAATAAAAAATTCAATAATGTTCTACTTTAAAATTGACTACTATGTACTATTATTACAAATGGATGGATGTTTGTTACTACGTATATTCAAAATGAGTTTGCGAATTTTGAAGAAATTTGGCATACATGTAGAAAAAAATCTGGAAGAACACATGGGCTATTTATTTGTTTTTTTTTTAATTCCACGCGGACATATTTGCGAATAAAACCTAGTAAGTTATATAGCGAATTGCATACTACATAGTTATTAAAAAATTACTTGGTGTGTTGGTATTCTTCTTTTTAGTGTTGTCATCCTCTGGGACCGGGGTTGCCTCATCCTCTTTAGTTGCAGGTGGAGTTTTCGTTGATAATTGTGTTGGAGCGGTCATCTCTACAATGTAAAATAAATGTTATATGTAACATATTTCAAATACATAAACTGCTGAACGCAGATTTAGTAAGTGGTCTCTATGAGTGTAAATTTAATATGGTAAGAGACAATTGACTAAGTCTAAAGTAAAAGTAATTAAATGAACATACCTATGGGTTCATGGACCATTTCTAACAGTTCATCGGGCGTTAGCTTTGCTGTAACTTTCTTGAACTCCAAAACCCTTTCTGAGAAGTACTCGAAGAACGAGAGGCCGGCTGGTGTTGTGAATAATTCCTAAAAATACATGTAGGTAGATTAGAATTAGTATACATAAGAAAATTGTAAACGTGTCACAAGACTTTAAGATACTTTCATCATCTTACTAGCCTTATCCCACTCACGTGGGGTCAGCGTACAAGTTTTTATGAACCTTAATTTTTACGCCTGCTTGTTGCCGACCCTAGATTTTAAGATGCGTTATGCATCCTTGATAGAAAAAGTTAGTTATTTTCTTATCCATACCAAGCTCTTTATAAAAATAAAATACTATTTCTCTTTTCTACAGCAAGAGTCTACTTCAAACTTTTCTATACGGTCGTGTTATTTCATCCATAGAGTGCAAAGATTAACCTACTTTTGAAGGATACCAGGTCATACTTCAATGGCAACTTTTAACAATGATATAACAGTCATATTATAAACTGACTTTCATATTCTTGTATAGCGTGTCCGCCTGCTTGCGTATCCTCTGAGCCTGCTTGTTGAACTGCAGCGCGGCGCTCTCGCTGAGGTCCCACGAGTTGGTGTTGCCGATGTAAGCTCGCATGCGCTTCACAGTCTCCAAGCATGAAGGATGTTTTAGCAGCATTAGAGGCTTTATATCCAGTTCTGAAAGTTACGGTTTATCCTATGTTTTCATTTAAAGCCAAAATTAACAAAAAAAGGATAAATTTGACTTCTTTAGTTACTTAAAAAATTGTAAGATAAGGCATTAAATAATCAAATAAAATTATATCGGAATTTTTAAAACTTTAGGCTAAAATTCACTTTGTCCATAGAAATTGGATTGGATTGATAACAGCCATGTTTTTGGTGGATGAATGTCCAATGCCGTAGACTCGTCTAGCTAGTTTACTTTTAAAGGAAACTTCTGTTATGCATTAATCATGTTAAGGAGTCAGATCATATAAAATTTACATTACAACATACCCATCAGTTCATCAAGTAGTTTCAAGCAGAGTTCAGTATCGGCTTTCTCCAGACACAGGCAGGTCTTTATCTTGGCGTCCAGTTCAATTAACTTCATTTCCGTCTTCAAGAATTGAACGCGAGATTTCTTCTCCTCTAAAAAGAGTTTTACACATAAAGCGTAAATGATTTGATGCAAAGGAAGGATAAACGCAGAGTAATTTAAAGGTAACTTAATCTGTTCCTTAGTGTAGATTTAACTTACCAAATCTACAATTTGTGACTATGAGACTTTGATTATGGCATTTAGTACTGTAATACGAAAATTTCGTCTTATATTGAAAACATGTTTTTTTTCTAATAAAAACTATAAAGGTTGTTTGTAACAAATAGTACAAAGACACAAACCTGTTTCTCTTTCCTTGTCCAATGTAGCTTTCTCTTCGTCAGTTAAATGTAGATCTGTTACAAGTTGTCCCATCACCGATTGTGGGGTAATTTGTCCCCTTTCTGTTTACAAAATATACATAGTTTTAGACATTATTAGTTAGAATCACTTGACGCGAATGACGTGCTTTCGTTACATAGTCAAGTGTCAGAATGAATAGTGTGGGGACACAAACGTCGATATTTTAGTAAGGCTAGTGTTGAGTCAATACACTGGCTCATTTTCTGTTTTACTTCCTAATAACAGTTATAATAAAATTTAATCGATCGATATGTTAAAAATAGCTAGAAAACTGCAAATTTAAACAACTTTATATTATTTTATTTTATCTCTGTGAATTATAAAATTTAATAATCTTCTTAATATTATAAATGGGAATGTTTGGATTTTTGGATGACTGTTAGAAGGGATCTCTAGAACGGCTTCATGGATTTCACTGAATATGGGCATAGGGTAATAATTATGTTATTTTTAGTTCCACATGGACGGCGTTGCAGCCGACAGCTAATAGTCAAAACATGGCATAGGACCATTTTCGTTATTTAAATATAAAATTAAATTTTCTACAGCTACAATTATCACAACAACCTATTATATACGATAAAATTATAATTCAAGTTACCTAATTGCATTTTAAGGTTGAGCGCGTTAGTAGCTGCTTGCTTGTCCCACTGTAGCCTGCCTGCCTCGTTCTTAAAAGAAGCCGGTCGTGACTGGAACAGCCTGATGCCTACATACTGGCCGTTACTCAGATACGCTATCAGAATATTCTCCTTGTCTGCATCCTCTGTATAAACAATAAATATAATAAGCAAACAATAATGTATTATTTTATTTAATAGCCAAGTAGTCTAATATAATTTACCAATGATTCCAAAGACAAGGACCCTTGGTTTATCGAAATATTTCTTTCTCATATGAGAAATAAATCTACATCATAACCAACCAGTAGTAAACTATGATAATAAATAATTCTATGGTTTTTTACGCAAATTAATACATTCCTTATGTAACAGTTATTTATATTAATAAAATAATGAACTTCATATTGAATACCAATCATTTTATTTTTTTAATTAAGTACAAATTAAATGAAAAAATTAAAGTCCAAAGTTTCAATAGTCATTGTTGCAATCTCATTTTAATAATAAGTTCATTTTCCTTTGAATATATATCCAATATATTTATAACAGTTTCATTAGCTTCGTTTAAAAGATTTTCATCATAAAAATCCACCGCATCATAGTCTGAATATTTTTTCATTAAAACCACAATCACCGAATTCTAAAGACGACGCTATAAAATTTTCATTTTCTTCATTATTTGCTTGAAATAAATTACAAAAATCTTCCATATCATTAGATACCTTATTTTCAAAACTATTACGGTCTAAATTAATATATGAGTTGACAATCGATGATATTGAACATTGTGAAACATTACGACTGAGGGATAGAATATTTTCACTAAAATCACTAATCGGTTGAGAGTTTATTTCCTGAGACATTAATTCTTCGTTATTCAGAACGTTAAGGGATCCTAATATAAGACCACCTAAAGATTTTTCCGATCTCCGTTTATAAGGCGCTGTTACATTGAAATTACTAAGCTTTGTGGATGGTAAATGTTCTGCGGAATCTTTATTTAGCGCATTTTCATTGTCTTCTAAGCAAATATCCATATTGTTAGTTGCAGAATTTTGTTGTTCACTTTGAGAAATAGACGATTCAGGAGTTGCATATATAATGCCATTATCAGTTGTAGTACTAACTTTTTTTAGAGGCGGATTAAATTTTGGTTTGCTACTTTTCTTCTTTTCAAGTTCGTAATCCATTATTACTTAATTTCTCCTAAATCACTGCCCTATAAATACGTCAAAATTTCGCGGTATAAAACTTGTTTTTTTTTTCAGTAGAAAGTCAAAGGCTAGACACATTCAGCCAGTTACATTTACTTTTTTTCCATCTACTTTTTTTTAATTTTGATAAGTGTTTATATATTTTTTAATTTAGCTTCATAACAATTAAAGTTTTTATTATTATTTTTTAATTCATGTTTTAATATTAATTTTTGTTTTAAAAACTTTTAAATTAATTAGGAAAAAAATTACCATTACTTACCGTGTGCAAAGGGTTCTTTCAAATCTTCAAGCTCAGACTGAAACAAGCAGAGTTTGATGTTTATTTTTTAAATGTTTATAAAAATTATGAAACAAATGAAATGTTGAAGTAATTTCAAAAGCCTTGGTTTAAGTATTATTATTGTATGATAAAAAGAAAATAAATTCATATAAACCTGTGAGACAGTGTTAAATAGTTTCGTCTTGTCAATCTTTGCCTTTGTGGCATCAGACTTTGATTTCTCTTTCTCTGGTTCTTTTTCTTTCTCTGGAGGAGGGGATGGGACTCTGCGTTTCTTTGGTGCGGGCGAGGGTAAGGTTGTATTCTCTTCTGTATGTTCATCTATATATCTGGAATGAAATAAATATTTACTATAATTTTTTTCCGAACTAAAACCTTTTTTCCACTATAGCGACGTGCGACTGTAATTAATTAATCGCGCATAGCCTGAGTCGCAGGACTAATCGCTTAGTGTAAAATAGTTCTAATTATAATTTTTGTCCTCATAATTAAGATATGCTGCCTCTTAAATTTACTATGAAATTTAAATTTTATTTTATCCCTGTGTATGGAGGTTTATAAAAATGCAATTTACCTTTTCGGTCGTATTTTTCTACCACTCCTACTTATTATTTCTTCTTCTTTTTTCTCTTCTACATCTTCCTTTTGTTCTTCTTTCTTTGCTTTCCCGCGTGGAGTCTTCGGTTCTTTTATTGGTTTCGCCGGTGTTGCCGCTTTCGTGGATTTGCGACCCTTCTGAATAGATAATTGTTAACTTACTTGATTAATATGAAGTAAAATTAACCTTCTTTTTTTATGTTTAGTTATCATTACCATTACCATATTTAGTTAGAAAATACCGTTATTTCTCATAATATAAATATATCTTTTATGTACAATTTACTTAAATATATAAACCAGATGTGCAGGTGTTATTGACAAACATTTATGTATGTCTTGCTAGCTTTGGCTGGCGATTTTACGTGATTTCGTTACATTACGATACGATAAAGTTGACCAGCCGTTCGACCAACACATCAACCAACTACTCTCCAAACGGACACCGTTTCTGAGACCAACCATCTCATTTAAAATATATCATCTCTGTTTTGGTCTCAGAAATTTTATCATTTTTAATTTGAAATGTCAAATATTTAGCTTTGTAGGTACACAGGTTATATATTAAGGATTATTTTAAAAGTAAACATACATACATGCAAAAAAAAAATATAAAACTAAGATGCAAAATGAACCCAAAGCCTTAGTATGGAATACATTAACAAATAATTTTAGGTGATTTATGAGAAAAACAACCATAATCAGAGTAGATTTACAGTCACTTTATATAGGTTTCCAATACTAAATCTACACTAAGTGGCTCCTTCAGTGACTACTCTGATTAAGGTAGGTAATATGAGTATTGTAATATTAACTTTATATAACAATCACCTTTCCCTCATCAATAACCAGGCCACCGGTCTCATCAGAGTCATCCACACCGGTATCAATTTGACTTGTATTTGTCTGCGGAAAAATATATCTTTTTTTATTTTTCTGCTTTTTTTTGTCTTTGGAACAATTTTTTTTATATTCCCGCGCCAAAATGTTTTTTTTATTTGTCTTCAGCAATGCATCTTTTTAATTTTGCTGGACAGGTTTTTTTTTGCGAAAGAACATTGTTTTTCTACAGATAAAATTAAAATTAATAATTTTATCTTAATAAATATTACTTACTTCTTGCAAAGTGATAACTATTTTAATATTATTGTAAGTTTCCTCAACATATTATTACTTTACCTTTTTAGTAATAACTTTGGCACAAACTGAATTATTCTATGGATTTGTTAAATAACACTATAATCTCAATAGCGCTACATTAAAAACAAATCCAATAATGAAATTAGGTCTTTTTTATCACTATTCAAATATATTAGAGGTATAAAAAATACAGCCTTCTCACTTGTAGCCATGGACTGGCAGGAGAAGGCGCAAGACAGGCGACATTGGCAATCTCTTGTGTCGGAGGCCAAGACCCACTTTGGGTCGATGCACCAGCGGAGTAAGTATAAAAAAATGATGGATAAATAAAATAAGAAGCTAAAATTAAGCTAAATCAAAGATTTCATTCCAATATACTAGAATTCTACTTAATAAAACTAGATAATATTAATAAATTGTTACTATTTCTGCAACTATGAGTTTCCACTGCACAAAAACCTGTACAACAACTAACCTAAAGAATATCCAATGTTTTTTTTTAATAATCGAAAGAGATGATTGTATTTATACAAAGTATTTTAGTAGTGGAAATTCACAATCATTGTCTTATATATTGTGGCAGCTCGGAACAACATACTAGTTGCTTTGTTGAAACTTTTTTTATATTATAAAGTGGTAAATGAGCAGATAGCCTCTTGAATTCGCCGAAATAGCGAAACAACCACTGTCCATGGATCTTTTCAATTGCAGATACATTGCCTATCTTTAATCATCGGAGAAACACACAGAAAGATAATATTTCTCCTTCCTCTACTGATTCCACTTCCCTTTCCCATCAATATTATATAAAAAAGTGCAGGAAGGGAATCATGGACTAAAATTTGGCCACCATCATGCACAAAACTGCCATGTAAGGTGTTATTGGGTATACATTAATGTGGGAGGATACTATGACTATGATGAATACATCTGACCCCGAGTCGCCAAAATATTTAAAAAGACTTATACTGCATTAAGCAGGTTTACATTATGCCAGTACAGTAACATAGTAGCGCTGACTGGTCCGTTGGCTCATAGACGAAAGTGCATATTTTCATTATGCCAGTGAAGAGCGCTACTGTACTGGAATAATGTAAACCACTCATAGCTGTTTGTACTACTAGTGCTACTTACTACAAGATAAACCAAATACATACATCTTCTGTGGCAGTGTCATTTGCAATTGTGGTGTCATCCTCGGTGGCAGCGGATTCATCCATAGTGTCATTAGCAGCGGAATCATTGATTGTGTCATTGACACTTGTGTCTGGTGGTAGCTGTAATTAAAATCAAATATATTACTTAAATAATAAAACAAACTACTATGATAAAATAGTAATTTTTAAATTATGATAGTTTGACTATGGTCTTTATTATTCAAATTTGTGTGCACTTTTCTGTACAGCCAAAGGATTAGCGTAAAATGGATAAAAAAAATAACTCAATTATTGAGTCATTGGCCCAACGATCATCAGTGAGAAATTAAGATTACAAAGAAACCTCTATAAGAGATAAAAATATTGCGGTCCCTTGAACTCTTACTTATATGTACATACTGTATATATTTTATTACATTATTAAGTTCTAATTTTTTTCTTAAATATATTATAAAAAAATATTTACCAATGCTATCCCAACAACCTCTTCCACAGGCACATTATTTGCAAAATCATGTTCAATCTGTTTAACACCAAGGTTGAAGTCTTTCCTTTTCACAGTTTTAGTTAGAAATTTATCTTTATTCTCTGCATAGTCAAATATCATATTTGGTGGTAGATTAGCTCTGAAAGATATAAAAAACAACAGTTTTACTATACTACAGAGAAACTTTTATTGTCATATTATTTTTATATTTAAACTAGCTAGCACAACACCGTCCGTGTGGAGTAAAAAAATCTTAATAAGTAGCCTATGTGTTCTTCCAGAACATGTTCTACGTATATGCCAAATTTCATCAGAATCCATGCAGCTGTCCTGTAGGTATCTTCTAACAAACATCCATCCATCTATCCAAACATTAGCATATATAAAAATACCCATTTTAACAAAATTTTGCTATAAAATACTTTTAAAAAACAATCCATTCAGTTCCATTTGAAACCTTTTTTTTAATCTAATAAGAATCCTTATATTTCTATTAACAGATTTAATATATTAATTTCTTTTAGTATATTCTTGGTGTCATTATAAAATGATATTAATATTCAGCAAGAGTAAAGTTAAACAGGAGAAGCAATATTTCAATAATTTAAATTTATTCATACAAACTTACGTTTCTCCGGTTCCATAGAAATATACAAAATACTTTTTGCCATTCAATCTTTGTACCTGAAATGTGAAAACTTAAATTATAATGTGCCAATAAATAAACTAACATGTAAGTTCAAACAATTTTCTCATAGCTATAATAAACAAAAGAAATGAGAAGAAAAACTTTCTTATTCGATTCTTTACTCCGATACTTCCGGCATTGTATAAAAATATGTAATGAGATAAGAAAATAGGTTACACAATTTACATAACGTTTGGATCGTATTATCGGTTATTTTTATAGTTGTATAAGAAAATAACTATAAAGTGTCTTTATGTGGTATAGTTGTAACTAATCATAATAATAAGTATATAATAAAAAGCAACAAGCATCCAATTTTTGTGAAAGCGTCGGGCATGATGTCTTCCCGCGCAAAGGCTCATGAACATTACACTAATGTCGGGTAAATACAACTTTTAAATATTCAGTATTAAATTTGTACTTACACGAGCTGGCCATGCTGGATATCCTTTTACTTTGGCAAATATAAAGTCTCCGGATTTGTATTCTCTAACTTTTTTACCCATTTTCATGTAATGCCGCTACACTCTGTATTCCTGGCGACTACTGTCTGTTTCTTCAGATGTACTAAAACACAGCGTTTAACATTCGTTTTTATTATCAAACGCTAGATAGATGTAATGGTTTCTTACTTAAATTATTTTTTTGGTTGTACTCATAATATAAGTGGACACAAAGATAACAAATAACCTTAAAAGATTTCTTACCGCGGCAACGAAATGACGGAAAGAAAAGAAATAAACATGGCGTTTTGTGTGTGTTGCTAGTTGCTATTAAATGATAAAGAGTTTTTGTTTTGATTAAGTACTGACTCTTTTTGATTTTATTTTTCATTTAAGTATTTCGAAATAAACACTTGCTTTAACAAAACCTTTTTAACATGCAAATTAAGTAAAGTTACTCATTTTCAAAAACGCAGGTGTATGCTACTTAACTTGAAATAATTTGAGACAAAAGTCTATCATTTTACAATTACAATATTTTTTTGATTATAAGGCTTATATAATATAAAACGTTAAAAGTTTTTTTACGAAATGTAAAAGTTTACCCAACAAAATGTAAAAACATTGTTGCAAACTCGAAGTCTCGCAGACCATACATTTTTTTTTACACGAATTAATAAATAGCATCTAGCAACACAGTTACTTTGATCGGTCGTGTCAGACGGATGCTTCGGGCGAGCATTTTCGCGTAAACTAATTGATTTCTTCTAATTAAATTACAGTGAATCATTGTGTTAGCGATGCAAAAGTGATGTGAGCCATGCTTATTCATTTTGTGCAAAAATTGTTAATATTGAAGCCAAAATAGGGGGTGTAACGGGGAAACAAAAATGGCTTCGGGAGACAGCGATCACATAGAAGTAATGGATAGTACAGTGACTAAAAAGACGGATGCTGGACAGGCAGGCGCAGAGGATGATGGTAATATTACTTCTTATTAATATAACTAATGAAGATACCAATATGACTCTTCTTTTCCTACTATTACGGCCATACCGCGACCCATTTTCTTTATTCGTATTAAGTTCATTTTTTCTTTTTTCAGATCGCGATAGGACTTCAATTGCTGAGAAAAATGTACTTTACGATGTAAGTAAACTAGTTATATGTTTTACGCATATTTTCATTCATGTTTCGAGCAGTACCATAAGTAGGGAGAAAGTTGTGAATACGCCTAACAATTAATATGCGAGTCTCATTACCATTAAAACGTATACAATATACAGAGTGAGAAATTCAAATATCATAAGAATAAATTTATGTTCTCTCTATAACTTGTTACATTGTCCTTATAATTATGTAAATGTACTTGACTAGTTTTTTTATGATAGATATACATTATTGCAAATATTTTGTTCCTTGTAATTTCAAATTGTAAATGCAAATTATATGAAATTTCACCAGATGTTATTCTGTTTTCTTTAACTGAATTAATTCTTTTATCTATTTAATTGGTTCACTTAATAAAATTCATAAAATCCTAAGTCTATATTAAATGAGTATGACAAGTGTTCAGAAGCGTAAAGACCTTAATTCCTTGTCATTGCTGAGGATGTATAATAATTATTATTTTATATTACAAATTCACAAAATGTTGCTGGTGTCTTTCTTATGGGGTAGTAGTTGCCAATTGCATTACCAAACTCAAGTATAACTGAAAATATTAACATAACCTTGGATCTCCGGCTTAGATGTTTTGAATTTCCATTAACTGGTTTTCTTGGTTATAAAGCTCATTATCATTGGTTTTTATTTTAATTACCTGTTCATGATATTGAGTAGAAACACATGTTACATAATGCATATTTCCTTGTGTAGTCATTAACTACTTTTAAATAGCTTGGTTTATCTTCCTTATTTACATTTCCAGTTCTATTTAGTATTCATACTTATCTACAAAAAGTGTTGTAATAAATATGATGAGTGTGAATAAGTTTAATGATGTACCCAAAAGTATAGACAATAATCATCTTAATTTATTCAAAATTTTATTTATTAATTTATTTATTTGTATAGGCATTGGAGCATAAAACTTCCTTAAAACAAAATACTTTTACAAACATATTATACAACAAAAAAAAATGGAAAAAAAATCCTTCTTGATTCAATATTCCAATTTTAAGTCAATTTACATTTAAAATATCGCTCGAGGTATTTGTTTCATTTAAGGATGATATTATAATAAAGTTATCTTAAATTTGTAGGTGTCATAAGTCAAGTAATTTGACTTATAACCTTAAAATCTGTAAACATAAATAAAAGTCAATGAGATCATGCTAATATATATAAGCATGTTATTAATTTTTGTGTTGATAAGCTTTATCTTACATTCACTGAGAGTTATCTGTGTAAGCCAAAATCATCTGATAACGGTGCTCAGCCGATTGTTGTGGGTCAGCGCACTATGTAAATATGGTCTTGTAGATGGACAATATTTTACTCATTTCCTGAGACATGTTCCGCACATCTTATTTTAAAATTATAATAAAATAACTATGTGAATAATAAAGTGAGTTTTTGGATTTAATAAAAATATAACTCGAAAAATTATTTTTATATGCATAGTCCATCAATTGTATGCGTAATGATTTTTTATGTAGGTCTCAGTTAATTTAGCGTCATTTGGTTTTTGTTTGGGAGATTTTGCATAACATATTTTTAGTTTGTTGAATGTGATATTATACATTGATGTGAGTGACAAGTGAGAACACGAATTTTAACATATAATTATATTACTTTGGTAAACTCTTGGAGAAATTATACTAGACACTTGTTTTTTTTTCTTATACCGTTTTTTAGATTCCATCAACAACTGTATTTTAATATTATATTGATTAATTTATGTCCCGTATTTTTAAGGTTTATGGCTACCACCAGTCTCGAGGCGTGAGTCATGCTCCTTCCGACAATACCGCCTTTAGTTATGACCTTTCCGAGTCAGGATTGGCCTGTTGCCAGCTGATCTCATCCCCTCTCTATTGTATATTACACTTACATGTTAGTATAATAAAGAATAAAATCTTATTCTGCCATAGATGATGAGAATTTAGTATAGAACGCGTGATAGCACGTCATCAGAAGACCTTCCAGAAGACTTCGCGAAATAAATCTTTTCGTACTTGATGATCTTGAACAACACTAAAGACGGGAAGTATTACATTCTAAAACTTTTCCGTGATATTCTGTGATGTCGTGATATTTCCCGGGCCAGAGTTCCACCATTATGAATAATTACTATAACCATCTGATAAGCATATGAATCAAAAGATAGCTTTAGATGGTCTTATCGCTAGATTTTATTTAATGATAAAGGGCAAACATACAGCGTGTTGCACAATTTAGAGAGTAGGCGTTATAACTCCAGAAAGGCATTTGGCCTGACGCCCAGTCTTATTCGATCTGTCTCCTCCAACCAGGAAGAGTTTCTTCGAAAATGAATTATTCAAATATTAAATGGACATCCACTATATTTGATTATTTGAAATCTATACATAAAAGTTGTTGCTTGGATAGGTTTTGAATTGCTATTTGTATGCCCAACGTTCGTATTAAGGGCAGGCAGTGATAGACTGACCTAGATGTCCGGCGGTTCTGAACGAGTTTTAACTTTTATTTTCTATGTGACATGTGTACGTAATAACAAAGGTTCTATGGTAGATAAGAGGTGTGCGACCTCTTTATAATAAAAAAGTAACGTATAATATTCTCCCGTCAAAATAGGTCCGAAGACATCCTGGAACAATCGCGTCTTACAGATAGACCGAGGGATATTTTTTTTCTTCCCGATACATTTTTAAGAACCTCATACTATCTGTCAACCCTCTCATTTTCTTTGAAATAGAAATCAAAGATGACTATTTTTTTGCACGTGTTAGGAAAGATGACCTAAACCTTAGGTTACCATATCATGTTTAAGTAATAATTTTTTAAAAATAAATTCAATTCCCTACCACATATTTACAGTTACACTTGAAGTTATTTACCGACATTTTTTATTGAAAGTAATTAAAATTAATTAACGGTTTTTGCTTCTACATAATATATGGAAAAAAACCATGGATTTTTCTGTGTTTACTTCCGTAATGTTATGTTGTTATTTTGCTGCGAAATGAAATAGTGTTTCGAAATGAAATAATTCTAGAACATTCGTGAATCATTGCAGTGCGAATCTGTGGGAAGGTTCACAGTCGTAACTGTTATGTTCATTACCCCCGTTTGAAAGCGTTCATGTGTTGTAGTGACATACTATTATGATCACTAAGGCAGCCTTTCTCATACAATATCTACACTAAGGGGCTCCAGTGCTCACTTTTAGCGAATTCTTATAATGAATATAATGAACCGGTCATTACTGACCTACCATATTCAAATCAACTTATTCTTGTCTTTAATTACTGGTCATTTCCGATATTAATAACGTTACCCGGAATATATCCGTTAAGTAATAAGCGTCAATAAGCTGTATTATCTAGAAACTTAAGGAACCGTTCATACAGTATGAATGTTATAAATGCGAATGTTTCAATGGATGGATGTTTGTTTAAAGGAATCTCCAGAACGGCTGTATTGATCTTGCTAAAATTTGGCATAGATGGAAGAACACGCAGTCTATTAAGTATTTTTTTAATACCGCGCGAACGGAGTCGCAACATCTAGAAGCAGATAAAATTTAACTTTGTTCTATTTTAACACGTATTTTTCAGTATAATGATGGTAAATATTGCGTCCTCGTTTGAGATGGTATTTAAGATCTAAAGGTTATTTGTATGACATTGCATATATAATTAAAAAAGTCTATTGTGAATATCTTTGTTAAATTTAAAAATATTTTATTATATTTAATAAAACCAGTCTTAGTTTTTATAACATATCTACTTATGCATAACCATTTATCAATGCATATTTTAATAAACTGAGGTACAGTCGGGTTGTGTGGTTATCGTGTTCTAACGTAAAAATTATAGTAGTAATGCTAGTAACGGAATAGTGTAGTGAATTTACTAATTAAGATTCTACTAATGTGTACTAGAATTAGTGTTTTATTGATAATTTAGTTGTTTAGTTAAACAAGTGTAGTTTTTATACTTGTGATTATGTTAACAGTGTTGAGAATGACTTCTAAATAAATACAAGTAAGTTTGTTTTTTCGTTCAGTGAACTCTATACTAATGTTATAAAGCGGAAGAGTTTTTTTTTGTTTGTTGTGTTTAAACGCGCTAATCTACGGAAACAACAGGTCCGATTTGAAAAATTCTTTCTTTGTTGGATAGTCCATTTATAGAGGAAGGCTTTAGGCTATATAACGTTACGCTGCGACTAATAGTCTTTTTTTAATTCCGCGCGGATGGTGTCGCGGTCGACAGCTAGTAATTAATAACTTCGTTGCTGTTTCGTTCATTCAAATCCACAACTTTTGTTTTACCTGCTCCTTTTCCTCGTTAATTAATGTTATTTTTTATCTTAACTTTTTTATATACGAGTGATGTATTTTTAATTGTGTTTATTTTATTTTAGTTGTACAGTGTTCTTACGGTAACAATGGTCTATAACTTTTTTGTTATAAGGACCTCGATTCCCGACACCAATGTATTTTGGAAGCAAACTAAACTGGGATGGATGGGTGGATGTTTGTTTGAAGGTATCTCTGAAACTGTTCAATGGATCTTGATGATATTTGTCATAGATGTAGAACTTAGTCTTAAAGAACACATAGGCTACAATTTTTTTTAATACCGCGCGGACAGAGTAACTCCTAGACATTAATATGGATAATTCAACTTAGACAAAATTTAATTCATCTGTGATAAGTGTGTGATTAAAAGGTTATTAAAATCATGACACTGACACTGATTTGTGTTTTGTTAAGATCCGTCTTAATGGTGTCAGTGCCATTCTAAGTTCTAAACCAACTATCCCACGGTACGTATTGTTTGAAATTCGAAATTTTGAAAATGAAATTAAACTATTTTAACGTATATTTGTGCTATTATCTCAGATATTATTATCGTAATTAGGATATTAAGACCAAGGTACATATATAGCGAGTAGAGGATTTGGAGGAGGAGGTTCATTAATTAAAATATTAAATC